GGGTACTGTCAATAAATGGGTTAACCTGCAAGGATAACAATAATAGGATGTTTCTGAAGGACTCGCTCAACACCCTGTAGTTTGTCTTTTGCTGTCGAAGGCAGCATTACTGCCCTGTGGGTAACCTAGTTATATTATATACACCGTATTTACTCGTTTAAGCGCCGACCCCGATTAAAACGCCGCATAATTATGAGAGCAAAATTATTGAAGAGCGCCGCACTCGAATATGCGCCGAACGCCCGTACTTATTCACAACAAGACGACGTTTAATCCAAGCACCGTCTGAAAAATTGTTCGTCACGCCCAACCACGGAAGGAAAACGCCCTGGATACAAGGTTGGTGCTTAAACGAGTAACGTAAAACGGAAAACTACGCGTTTGGAAGCCGGATGGCGTTAAGCTAAAAGCGCGTCATGCGTTACTTATACAAATATATTATTAATGATCTTTTGTTCTACTATATATTTTTTTTTTATATCTAGTTAAACAACTCAATCAAGTGGGCATCCCGTTGGGATTACATTTTGGAATCCACACCGCATAAAAGTATCCAATGGTTCAGGTTCGTATACCATTGCATGTTCACAAGCTTGAGAACAATACTATCGTGGACATTGGACATGACTCACATGAGCTGCATGCAGTATTTTCATTTCAAATACGTCTAGTGTTGTGGCAATGTGTGTCCACCAAAAATGGGGCTAATCACATTGTAGCAGAATTCAAGATTTCTATTTGATTGATGTTTTTTTGGCAATATGCACCGTGGAGGATACGTTTATTGTTTGTTTAAAATAATTCTTGATTTCTGATTGGCTAACACCCAACGGTGAAGATACCATTTTAACTAAATGGCTGACCAAATCTGGAGTTGTGAGCTGTGACATCAATACGATTAAAAACAGTTCCTGCACGTATGACATCAACTGGTGCAATATGCATGACGTCATGCCATTAATTAATGCAATGTTGCATTAATGACTTCTCCTTCGTCCGCTTGCTGATTTTGGGAAAGCAAAATTTTAAATTTTAATCTATACAAAATCCTTCTGCAGTACTATAATAAGTAGCAATTTAGTATTAAATTTAATATTATATTTTGTAATATTCTTATTACTAGCATTATGAATTCTCTGGTGATTGTTCTCTTCCTATCTGGCATTGTGGCAATGATTATGTTGAGAACCTTACACGAAGATGTTGCTCGATATTGCCAACTGGAAACCTGCGTAAGTTGCACATTATACAGTATAGATTTGGGTAAATTTGTGTGCATGCTACTCAATTACAGTCAAACGCATGTTCTCTTGCGAGCAACATTGCAATATTGTCCCACAATATTGCAATTTTGATAGGGAGATTGCTCTGAGCAATTTGAAACGGACGCGAACAAATTGCAAGTTGAAATTCACAAAAGATTTGTAAACAAAGCCTCTGATTGGACTATTAGAAAGAGGGAAGCACCAATCCAGTTGCTCAGACTATTTGATTGGCTTCCCTCTTTCTTATAATCCAATCAGAGGCTTTGTTTACAAATCTTTTGTGAATTTCCAACTTGCAATTTGTTCGCGTCGGTTGCAATTTGCTCAGAGCAATCTGCCTCTCAAAATTGCGATATTGTGTGACAATATTGCAATATTGCTCGCAAGAGAACATCCGATTTGACTGTAAGGGGTTGTACTTTCACTCAAAATTGCGAGACCATATATTTTTTTGGCTGACATCTGTTACTAATTCACCCATTCACAATCTCCTCCACCAAGTGGTATTAAAGGCACTGTTATATGTTAATTAAATTAAATTTAATTATAAAACAAGATGGGCAACAGCAGGAAGCGGTTAAAATATGGGTCAAAAATATAATCCCAAGCATTAAGAATTTACGGGGAAATTATAAAAGGTCTCTGTAGCTATTCTCAACTTTCTTTCATGAATGAATTTGGTCAAACACAATTTTGCCTTTAGAAACGCATCATTTGCAGCCCTTGAAACTCAGGTCCACACTCGGCAGCCGCCGATTTAGTTGGGAACTGCATACAAAGCATTTTACTGCTATAGATTTTGGTGGGCAAAACCTTGCCGAACTACTTTAAAAATCATCACAGCAATTTTTACATGAACGCACTTTTCACATACACGTTTTGTAGGAAAACTATTTACTACAATTTTCAGTTGAGCGTGAATGTGGCATAGTTGTGTCGCAATGTTTCGACAACAATAGGGTTTTGTTCGCCAATGATAGATATAAATTAAATCAATTTTTGGCGACGTAAGTATAGATTGAGAATTATCGTTTTCAGTTCGGCAATTGCTGGCCGACATGTGTTGGTTGGAAACTTGTTCATGGTGATGTTTTCCGTCCTCCTGGCAAAGGCATGCTACTCTCTGTCATGTTGGGTACTGGTACTCAGGTTGTCACCATGACTTCAATAACACTTGGTAAGATAGGTTTAAACCTATTTTATATAATAACTACAGTGAAACACGCAATTTGATTGCAGATCAATAGCCGTGCAGGATCAGGCTATCCTGCACTAGGAATTAAAATGCCTTTCGCGGGATTTTCGGTAAACAATTACCAAATGGTTTTCCAAGCAGGATAGCGTGATCCATGCCCTTGGGATGTTGCTGGACTTTCGGAAAGCATAAAAATACACTCGCCTGCGGCTCGAGTATTTTTACGCTTTCCGAGAGTCTCGCGACATCCCTCGTGCATGGATCACGCAATCCTGCACGGAAAACCATTCGGTATTCCTTTATTAATGCATAGAAAGCACAATTTCTTTTGCTAAAATTAAAGAGATTGATTACATATCTAATATGTCTCAGCCAAGAACTCATTATCCCCGAGCCAACGGCGCGGAGCGCCGTTCTGGGCGTAAGCCCGGGGCGAGGGTACTAATTCCTCCCGGCTATTTACATCCGGGGAAAGGAACAGAGACGTCGCTATAGGGGGGGGGGGTGTAACACCCCCCCTCAATAATTCAAACGTTGGTCAAAGTTGGTCAAAATGGAAGTGATATTTGCCCAAAGTTGGTCAAAATGGAACTGATATTTGCTTAAAATTGAAGGTAAAACTGGGAAAAATTTGGTAAAAGTTTGGGATAAAAGATGGTCGAAGTTGCCCAAAGTTATGAAATGGTTCGCAATTTTAACAATTTTAAAGCTTTTTGTTACGTTTGCTATGAAAAAATTGGAAGTTTTGGTCATCTTGGTCGAAAAATTTTGAATTTGCTTATGTTGGTCCGGAAAAATGTGTTTGTAGAAAACGGTGATTATTTTCGCTTTATTCGTCGTAAAAGGGTTTAAAAACACGCTCGAAAAACTACATATTTTTCCTTTATTTTATGTTCCAAAAAAATATCTCGTCAACAAAACAAGAAAAACCGGTTTTATCTAATTATGTAAAATTACTGTAACGTAAACAAGTCTGCGATCACGTGAATGTCACGATTGTTACAGTGTTTGACTATGCTTATGTTAGTCCAGAAAATTTTTTAACTCCCCCCCCCCATTTTTACGACTTGGTCAAAATCCTAGGAAATGGTAAAAACATGACCCCCCTAATGTTGATGGCTTCGCTGGAAAGGAACACGCTAGCGGAGTCTAAAGTTGATCAATATCGTGGGCGCATGACTATGATCCAAGGGTGAACCAGTCACTGGGGTGGACCTCCTCACTGATCTCAAAAATATTGCGGATTGCCAGGAGTGAGAAAAGCAAGATTTCAATTTTCAAAGACAAATATTTGGAAAATCGTTTTATATACAAGAGCAGTGAAGCAATTTTTGTTTGAAGAAATAAGAAGAATTTGTTTACTATGAGAAATCGTGATATATGGGGCAAGTTTGCTTTGAGTGTTTAATGTTTATGAATATTGTTGCTTTACGGCTTTACTTTTTGCCTAAAACATGAACTGTATTCCTTTCGAACAAAGCTTCCCAAATTACCCTGTGTTCAGTGTTGGCCATTCCTGCATACTTCATGTTAATTCAATGTTTGGAAATATAGGCGAGGGGTTACTGCATGCATGTATTTTTAGTATATATATATATATATATATAATAATATGTTTCTTGTCTGTAACTTTCTTCCTTGATCATTACATAGTGTTTGCTTGTCTTGGATTCCTATCACCAGCAAATCGTGGAGCACTAATGACTACTGTTTTGGTAAGCCTCCTTAAAACAGCTGTATATTAAGAACTCATTACATGTAAATGTAGTTACTCCGTGTTGGTCAACACTAGCAAGCTGACTGAGATCGCTTGAGGGCGTTGAGAACCTAGACCGCGGTCCTTCGGTTTTCTGGTTCACTCCCCTACCACTCGGAACATTACAGTATATTGCCTCTGTATTCAATGAGGTAGCTACGGATTGAAAGGTACAACTAGCTACCTTAAAAATATAATCAGAACTTCCGATCGACGTTTCGAGCAAAGACCTTCGTCGGAAAGTTAATTTGTAATATACTGTACAGTATATGTGTGGAGTGTGTGGGGCCTCAGTGGCACAGTAGTGGAGTTTCGGTGGCGCTGTCGTCAGAACAAGCGCCTTTCATCTCTGAGATCCTGGCTTCGATTTTCCCTACGGACTCATGTGAAAAGTGTCTGTCATCGTTCTGCTGAAAGTCGTTGGTTTGCTCCTGGCTCTCCAGTTTCCTCCCACAGGGAAAGTTGAGAGGATGGATTAGGATAACAGTTAGAACTGCAATATCACAATTGTAAAGATAAATTGTCTAAGCTAAGTATAAGTAGTACAGGTAAGCATAATACTTGATGTAATTGGTCACTGAAAAGTGTAAAGCCCCCAAAGGTCATGGGGAGTGAACCGAATAATGATAATGTATGAAACTAGAATTTGACCGTATTATGTAATGACGTGTTTAACCCAATGTAGGTATTGTTTGTCTGCCTTGGTGGATTTGCCGGATATGTTGCGGCCCGAATCTACAAATGTAAGTTTATATACGGTCGAAGCTGTATTAATAAGCCATGCTTGTATAAGGAATTGTTTTTAGTCAATTCAATGTCATGTATATATGTACGTATTCATGTTCTGTTTGTTTCTTCTGTAGTATTTGGTGGTGAACGATGGAAAACCAACGTCGTAATGACTTGCTTTTTGTTTCCGGGGTATGTAATCGTATTAATAGTAATTTATCTCTATAATTTTCTCGCGCGAATCGACAATATTCTCTAATTTGGAGATGAGCTGATTAATCCGAAATTTGAAATAATCGGTCATGTCCAGAAATCCCGGACATAATTTATTCTAACTCCATGAAAATTTACAGATCACTTTGAAATATGGCTTTAACTGTAACCAGTAAATTGTACAACGCGATGAGGTAAATCGCAAAATCTAAGAATATGGTAGATCGTTTGCAAATTGCCGAAGTCGCTGGTGCTAAATCGAAGTTTGTCGATGTATCTTGTGTAATTTTGGCCTGGTTTAACTTGCTGTTTTTCCCGCTTTTTAGTTCATTCCTAGTGCGGTATTTTTATATATATAGAGTTAAATAGACAAATGCAGTTAAAATTAACTTCGGTACAAATATAGAAAAAGCAGGAAAGGTAGTAACTTAAATCAGGCTAATTTTACACTAAATTCTTCGACAGGCTTTGTTTTGCATCCAGCTGACCATAGTTTTAAATTCAGGGAAAGATTATTATTATAACCGGATGTTATTGGACTCTTAGCGGAACATACGTGTTAGGGTTTCCATCAAATTTTCAAGTTGCAAATCGTCAACCTAACAAATTTCGTACATGATTTTATACAACTCTTTTCCAATTGTTTAAGAAGGAAATAAACGAACTAACCTAACGCACATGCAGTCGTCTATTATGACTGGCAACAACGATAATCGGTAGATGCCAATTAATTAATCCGCCGATTATTCAGTATAATTACACTGTAGTCTTCAAATAATCTTCAACTAGTCGGCATTATGATCAATCCTTAATTCAAATACATGTATCAATACATGTATCAATCCTTAATTCAAATAAATGTATAACGGTTTAAAGTCATAAAACCTTTGCTACACAGCCTTACGTCATTGTTAGATTAGGATTCGGACTATGGTTTGGATATGGGTTAGGATGGGGAAAAGGAGTGGGATAAAGATTGTATAAAGATGAGATATTGTTATATAGTTAGTGTCAAAGTTCAATTTTTCTGTTTGCCGATTGGTCAAAACCGTATCACGTGCCGGTCCACAAAACGTCATGTTCACTGCATGCTTTGACGAGAAGGCAACCTGTCAACAATGAAACATTTATTGACCGGTCCACAATAGAATGGGTGCAATGCGCGTCAACCATGAAGTTCCAAAGTTCATTTTTTAAACTTTTTATTAAACATTTACGGCGTTCCATTTATCCAGTTTTGGTTTCAAATTAAATCCACTCCAATAAACGGTGAATTATTCATATTTTGACACGTATATACTATATAACAAAACACTTATTTACTGAGACCTCGGGAAACAGTGTGTTTTGTGGCCCCTCGACAGCCGTCATTGCCTCTGTTTCGCCTCGGGCAACAGTGGCGGGTTCAAAAAACACACTGTTTCCCTCGGTCTCAGTAAATTGATAATTGCATGTTTAAGGATAATAAAATTGTTCTACTGAGTGTATAAAATAATATCTGATGCAAAGAAATTGACCGATTCAAAGAAGTGTAACGTGTTTCTGGCTGCCATTTGGTGTAATCTACCCGTATATACATCTTACTCTCAGTATCTTTTAAATAGAATCATCTTCGCAATTTTCTTTGTGTTAAACTTGGTATTGTGGGCCGAACAGTCTTCTGCTGCCATTCCATTTGAAACATTAATCACTTTACTTGCCTTGTGGTTTGGAATCTCTGTCCCGCTCGTATGTGTTGGAGCGTATTTTGGTTTCCGAAAGCCAGTAAGTTATGAATTGTTTCAGTATACAGGGTGGTTATCGAAATTTAGGGTCATTTTGTTCGGTACAACTAATAAATGGGCTTTTTGTAGATGGAAAATTCACTGTATGTACATTTTTAGTCCTATATACTGTGACTAGGAGCAGTTTCGAAAAATGCAACACTGGTTTGAATCTGGGAGGAAACGAGAAATTGCGTGAGAACACGAGCACGAAGTGCGAGTTTTTCCACGCAATTTCGAGTTTCTCGCAAACTTCCACAACTGTTTCTATATATAACTTTATCGCAACACGGAAAAAATGTTTTCTATTTCGTTTATTAAATAGCCTTTTAAAAACAATAAAAAAGATAAATTTATTGATTTAATTACATTCATTCATTATCTTATACGTTCGTGCATAAAAGGATAATTAAAGTGCCCATGACATGAAATTTTGGTGTATGATTTGATACTTTTTGATGCGCTGATTATCGTGGTAATATTTATTTTTTAATCACAATGCGAGAAAATGCTTGTATTTGGGTACAGCCATTAGAATTTTTAACAAACATTTTCCAGGAGACTGGAACCTAGTGTGACGTCACACGTTAGAGTCAGCACTGACTTTCAGTCTCTTGTAAACAAGTTCTATACAAAAGTTAACACTTTGGCTTTAGTGTTTTAAACACAATTTCTGCAGTTTTGACATGTCTTTCCATTTCACAAAGGAAAGGTAGATCTAAAATGTATTTGGAAGTGCGTCTTTGTACGCGTTTTAAGCGAGCGATGAGGTCGATGGTTTGCGAAGACCAAATTTGTGTCGCATATCCCATTTGCGATCGAACAAGTGTTATACAGCTATTTCAATTAAGGTTGTCCACGAGCAAAGCGGGAAAGTCGAATACGAGCGCGAAAGGCTGCTGGGAATCGCTAACAAATTAATGAATTTTCAAAGCGATTCCCATTCCCATTTCGCGCTCGTATTCGACTTTTCCGTTTTGCTCGTGAACAACCTTAATTGAAATAGCTGTATATAGTGTCCGACGGGCTTTACAGTTCTTGATTGTTCTTGTTGATCTTTTGATGAAACCCAACATTTTATTTGCTGTTGAGCGTTGTTCCAATACCTGTTTGTGCCAAGTCAAATTGTTTGATATCCATACGCCGCTCATTTTCAACGTTTTCTAATATGCTATCTTGTAAAGAGTACATGGATACTTGATCTTCCGATGTTTTCGGGTGACTCGCAGAGCTTTACATTTGGAAGTGTTTAAGTGAAGACCCACATCTGAAGAACTTGATTAAAAATTACTCGGGTCCTCCTGTAAGGATGCAGCATCACCGATATTATGGATTTCTTTGAAGATTTTAGTGTTGTTAGCGTATGTTGCAATGGATGAATTCTTCATATAACAAAAATAACACCAGTCCGAGAATAGAGCCCTGATGCACCCCTGATGTTAGTTGACTAGGTGAAGATGTTGCACCGAGGATGGTTGTTTGTTGACGACGATCTTGTATGTAGGAGCGAAACCAGTTGAGAATGTTACTCCAAAACCAAATTCACAGAGACGAAGAAGAAGAAGATGTTTAGTATGGCTAACTTTGTCAAAAGCCTTTGAAATATCTAAATAAATCACATGCATCTGTTTGCCACGATCTAGTTGTTTTCCTATCTTGTCAAAAACATCGATAAATTGTGTCACACAGTTTTTCCCAGGGAGGAACCATGTTGACAAGGTTTGACAAGGCTATGATCTTTAACAGTATTGAAGACACAGCGTTCCAGAACTTTCAAAACCAGAGAGAGCAGAGATATAGGTCTATTATTTTCCACACATTCCTGGTCTCCTTTTTAACAAGCAGGACCAACATTAGCAAGTTTCCAATCAAATGGTACCACGCCGATACGCAACGATTTGTTAAAAAATTCACAAAGAGATGGAGCTATTTTAGATGCAGTTTCTGTTAGTAAACGAGCAGGAATCCCATCCGGGCCACGAGCTTTGTCATTATCAAGAGTTCGTAGTACGTTAGCTATGTCGTCAGTTGTTAAAACAACATCCTCCAACAAGGAAATGTTATCGTCGATCGTAGACGGGTCTATGAAAGTATCTGGATCATTGGTGAAGATGGATGTGAAATAATTATTAAAGAGAGTTGCTATGTTCGCTGGTGTTTATGAGTATTTCCTTGAGTTTCCTTCAACCCCCATTGAGACTTTCTCAGGAATATTGGAAGATCTGGTTTTTAGCTTGAACAACGACCAGAAACTTTGTGTTATTTTCGTGATCATCACAAATAGAGCTAATGTACTTTGAACGACTTTCACCCAATCACGCCAATCTTCGTTAATATCACCATCGGTTGAAATTAACCCAGAGAGGTTTAAGGACTCGAGAGCAGATCTAAGAGCTTTAACATCTCCTCGCCGATAATCATACACCGTCCTGTTAGTTTTTGAGAGGTCAAAGAGGACAGTGAGGTCAAAACCGATTATACTGTGATCAGTAAAGATTTCTGCTTCAGCAGGAGACAAAATTTCGCTAATTTTTACTAGTTATGGAATGTTTGTGATAACGAGATCGAGTACGTTATTTTCTCTAGTTGCGGTGTTGTTAAGTTAAACTATAAAATAGGCATTAAGGAGTTCAATAAAAGCATTCTCATTTCTACCTGTCGTTCATTCTGGTGAGTTCCATGAAATTTGCGGAAGATCAAAATCCCCTACGAGAACAGTATGTTGGTGACTTAAACAAATATTACCCCGAGTTTTCCGATTAGAATAACCTGTGAGTGCAGAATTTCAAGATCATAGATGTCTTTCTTTAGCCAAGTTTCATTCACAAAAATAATATCACTGTCCCCGGAGTAGACCAAATTCTGGAAGAATTCCATGTTACTGCGATTACCTTCTTGTTTGGTTTACTAGCTGTTTGAAAAATCGAACCCAGTATATAAAAATAGGGAAAGCTGAGTCAATGTCTCAGGCTATCGTATGTGGTCTACCACAGGGTTCAACACTTGGACCCTTACTATTCCTTTTTTATATAAATGACATGCCAAATTCGTCATCAAAATTGTCATTCAGAATATTTGCTGATGATACAAATCTATTTTTTCAATCAAAGAATATCGATGAACTTGAAAATGTTATGAATAATGAACTCCAAGGTGTTATGACATACTGTAAGATAAATAAACTATCAATTAACCACAAAAAGACAAATTATATGATGATAAACTCTCCACAACGAAAATGTAGAAAAATTTGTATTTTAAATCTTGAGCAAAAGCATTGTGTTAAATACTTGGGTGTATTTATTGATGACCATTTAAACTGGGAAAATCAAATAAAACATATTAATAGCAAAATTTCCAAGAATTTAGGAATTTTGTACAAATTGCGGGGTTACATAAACTTAAAAATGTTAAAGCATCTATATTATACATTGGTCTATCCATATTTGAATTGCTGGGGAAATACTTTTCTACCAAGCAAATAAATTTCTACCAAGCAAAATAGTCAAATAGATGCATCTTTTTTGTAGATAACAGGGAAAATATAAATCTTTACTATAATATCCTCGGAGTCCTTAAGCTAGAAAATATTATCAAACTAAAAACTGCAATTTTTGCATCTAAATTTAGTGATCATGATTCCAACGTTCCGGTACGTGGCATTCTCTGACTTTCTCAATCCTGTTCATTTACTACATAATTACAAGACTTGCATAATCACAAGACTTGCATCTAAACTAAATTTCTGTAGACCTCAAGTAAGAACTAATTATGGCAAGTTTACTTTCAAATATACTGCATTAGTGCTATGGGAAACTATACCTTATCACATGAAGCATCTCCCTTTTAAGACTTTTAAACGAAAGTATATGTTGTATTTACTAAGTCAGCAGAACGACGATTAGCTCCAATTGGTGAAAGAACACTGTTTTTTTTTTAATTAAATATTTTTTTTCAAAGAAAATTAGTATTTTTTATATCTATGAACATCTGTGGTGATTTCATCTTAGCACGATTCTAATTTGTATTTCTATTTGCATATTCCTAGCATGGTCTATGGATCTGCGTACATCATCATTCCTTCAAATCTTTTTGTGTGTGTGTGTGTGTGTGTGTGTTTTTTTCTAATATTCTTAGCTCAAATACACTAAAAAATCTCACATAGACAGTAGTCAACTCGAAAGCTTCTTGCTACTTTGACTACTGGGCATAATTTAACTAAG